GAGAGAGAGAGAGAGAGAGAGAGAGAGAGAGAGAAAGAAAGAAAGAAAGAAAGAAAGAAAGAAAGAAAGAAAGAAAGAAAGAAAGAAAGAAAGAAAGAAAGAAAGAGAAATAGGGAGAGAGTGTGTGTGGTGTGTGTGAGAGAGAAAAAGAAAGGAAGGGAGAGAAAGACAGAAAGAGACAAAGGAAGAGAAAGAAAGAAAAAGAAATAGGAAGGGAGAGATAAAACTCTGTGTTATTATTTTTAATTGTTCCATTATTTATCATGTGTTAATATTTTACACTGCCCCTACACCTAGAGTGATTCTACTGCCTTTCTTTTGCCCAGGGCTACCACATATTTTTCAGGGTTTATATGCATTCAACGTCTAGTTCAGAGCATAATTACATGTGTGTTTAACAGAGTTGAAAGGGACCTTGGAGGTCTTCTAGTCCAAGCTCCTGCTCAGGCAGGAAAACTGAGGATGCCAAACTCTGAGTAGAGGTCCTGGGAAAGGTGCCAGAATGACACTTAGAAAGGACTTTTGGGGGAACCCTATACCATTTCAAAGAAATGGCTGTCCAGTCTTTTAAAAATTTCCAGTGATTGATCACCCAGAACTTCTGGGGACAAGCAGGTCCACTGGTTAACTGTTCTCTCTGTCAGAAAGTTTCTCCTTAGTTTTAGGTTGCTTCTCTCTTTGTTCAGTTTCCACCCATTGCTTCCTGTTTGCCTCCTGGTGCTTTGGAAAATACATACCCCCCCATTTCTTTGTGGCAGCCCCTTAAAAGCCTGTTGCCTATATCACACTCTTGAGTAAACCATGTGAGCCATTTTCTCTTTTCAGTGGTCAATGAAAGTACATCTATAGTATGCAGATAATAAAGTCAAAAAAGGTGAACAACATTTTTACAGAATTATAGATAAGTTGAGGCTGGGTGACAAGGAATGGCTGGGAGGGGAGGGACCAGGTGAGGCACCCCTTGATGTGAGTGACATTGAGTTGGCCACACCCACCCAGTCACATGACCACCAAGCCATGCCCACCCAGTCACATGACCACTAAGCCACACCCACCCAGCCACAAGACCACCAAGCCATGCCCACCAAATAAGCCACACCCACAGAACCTGTAGTAAAAAAAATTGAATTCCACCACTGATACAGATAGTCCTCAACTTACGACCACAATCGAGCCCAAAATTTATGTTGCTAAATGAAATATATGTTAAGTGAGTTTTGCCCATTTTATGACTTTTCTTGCCATTGTTAACAACAATCATTGCAATTGTTAAATAAGTAATATGGTTAAGTGGATCTGGATTCCCCATTTACTTTGCTTGTCAGAAGGTTGCCAAATCACATGACACTAGGACACTGCAACATCATAAATACAAACCAATTACCAACTATTTGAATTTTGATCATGGGACCACTGGGGATGCTGCAATGGTGATAAGTGTGATCATAAGTCACTTTTTTCAGTGCCATTGTAACTTTGAATGGTCAGTAAAGGCACTGTTGTAAGTTGAGGAGCCCCTGTGTATGATTTTGAAGCAAAGTATAAGCAGCACTACTAGCAGCATCATTCTCATGCCAGGCAGAAGAAGCCAGCAAGCATGAAAACCCCTTGCCCTTTACAAATGAATTTTCTTGAATTGCTTTAAGATCTCTTCACTGGATGGTTTGTTTATTTGTTTCTTCAGGTTTGCTAACTCATAAAATGGGAACTGGAGCTAGCATTTCTAAAATCAACACTTCTGAAACCACAGTCAGTCATACATACATTCATACAGTCACTCAACAAGTTCCTCATTAGTAGGTTCTTAAAAACTACTTCCTTATTATTATTTTTTAAATACTCATAATTGGAGGTATAAGAGTTATATTTTTATTCTCCTTTCAAGCTAGGCTAAAAGAGACAGTGAGGGATCCTTGGTGCTCTCTGAGCTTGGCTGCTTTCTTGCAGACCAATTAGATAATATCATCAGTGCTAGTCATCGTCTTAATGGCTGTGATGAAAGCAGCTATCCCAGGCATTATGAGAAACTAATTGTGAAAACTAGTTGTCTTGTGGCCCTTTTGCCCTCTAAATGCACGTGGTACTTTATGCTGCTATCTTTATGTCCTCTCACAGAATGACCTAGGCTGAGTCTTATTATTTATTTTATGTTTTTATGTATTTGTAGTAACATCATTGTACATATTATGATTAAGAAACATAAAAACCTCTGAGGGAATTGTGTGGCTCAAAAATGTAAAAAGAAAATCAAATCAAATAAAAATAATAAAATAAATGAAATGAAACAAAATGAAACAAAACAAAAGCTAGTTGAACATAATAAAGTCGTGTTACTGTCACAAATGCACCCTGGATCCATTTCAAAAATCTATCAGAAAGAATGATTTTAACAGTTTTGCAAAGGGTGAGTAAAGTGGGTGATGACTTGGTGGCATAATGAGAAGCTACCACAAGAAGAATTCCTATGGGTTCCTAAGAGAGATTTTAAACAAAACTATATGGGTTCCAACCAAGACTTTAAAGTTAAAAGCAGCACCTTAGACTGGGACAGAAGTCTTTTGGAAATCAATGGAGGAATCTCAGTATAGATGTAACACTACTAAAACCATTTCCCTCCATTAGTAATAAATAAATGCAATTTCAACCAATTGCTACCACCCATTTACATAGAAAGCCCCATACAAGCATGTTGCAGTAGTCTAAATGTGTCCCATTATGCTTTTTCCGAAAGGCAACTAGACTTTCTTGATTTGTTTTCTTTGAAAACATTTCACTTCTCATCCAAGAGGCTTATTCAGTTCTGAAGCTTCTTGAACTAAAGAAGCTTCTTGAATGAGAAGGAAAATGGTATACATGGACAGAGGTCGCTGTTATCCAGTGAAGTTATATGACAATGTTGCTGTTTAGAAGTGGGGATTTGACTTACTTCACTGTGTGGCTTGATGAAGCAAAACACCATTCAAAATCTGCAGACCACTTGTCCAACATTTGGCAGTTCTTATTAACTAAACTATGTAATAAAAATTAATGCAATGAAAATATAAATGATAACATTTCTGTCAGGGCTTTGCTACTAATGAGCTGATTCTACTTTTCATAATTTTTACAGATAAAAATGATAACTTTTTCTGGACCAAAAATTACTGGACAGGAGATCTCTACCAGATCAATTCCAACTCAGCTTTAACATGGGATGAAGCAAGAAAAAGCTGTCTGCAACAAAGTTCAGAATTATTGACCATCAACGAACTACATGAACAAGCATATTTGACAGGTATCACATAACAAAACATTTCTTAAAAGGCTTCTAAAGTCATTCCTGATAAGAAATATCTCATCTGTAATTAGCAATTTTAAAAACTTTGTATAAGAAACATCATTTTTCCTCCAGAGAAATTATCTTCTGAAAAATATTTGAGGCTTTGAAACAGTCTTTCTTTGAATTATCCACTTTCAAGGAACAATATTTTGACATAACTGAATTTGGAGTCCAAAGATGAATATTTATCTGATTGATTTGAAATTAACACATAAATATCAGTAGAAGAAAATATTTGTAGTTCAGGTGGAATTGTTGAGTTCTTGGTGCCATCTGACCTTGGTTTTTGCTTGCACATGTTTCATTACTAGGCAACATCCTAAGTGTGCTGTTTTCTCCCTGTTCTTTGGTTAGATTACTGTTTTGATCTGTTTTCTGCTTAATTATTTGGTGTTAATGTCACCTTATGTTGGTGTTAGATGATTGAAGAGGATGTGTTCTGATTGTTTGCTTCCTTTAATTGTCACTTTTGAATGGTGTGTAAATATGGTTTACCTCTATGTGTCTATATCAATATAGATTTACATACCATTCAAATGTGACAATAAAAAAGCTAAGAAAGAAAAAAAAATCAGAACAACCCCCCTTCAACTACCTAACAACTAGATAAGAAAATATTAACACCAAATAATTAAGCAGAAAACAATATTTTAACCAAAGAACAGGGAGAAAACACCATGCTGATATGTCTGAGTGCCATATTCCGTAAGTTCCCTAGTATTTTTAAAATTTAACTTGATCTAAGATACTCATAGTTTCCCAGTAAAAGTCATGGTTAAATCTGTCCATGTATTGTGAGGTTAAGGAGTTTTCATTGTACAAATAGAATAGAATATTATTAGGTCATGGTCAAATTGAAGACTCCTTGGTGCACTTTGAGCTGGATTGTTTTCATGCAGGTTAGGTAACATATTCAGTGAAGTTGTATATGAGTATACATGTGTGTATGTGTGTCTGTATGAATATACATACTTACATGTGTGTGTGTGTGTGTGTGTATATAGAATTCTTTATTGGCCAAGTGTGATTGGATACGCAAGGAATTTGTCTTGGTGCATATACTCTCAGTGTACATAAAAGAAGAGATACATTCATCAAGAATCAAGAATCACAAGGTACAACACTTAATAATAGTCTTAGGGTACAATAAGCAATCAAATCATACAAGGAAACAGTCACTAAAAAAATTATTAGGATGCAAGCAACAAGGTTATAGTCATTCAGTCACAAGTGGGAGGAGAAGAGTGAAAGGAAAGATGGGAGGATTAATGGTAATGGTAATAGTAATGCAGACTTAGTAAATAGTTTGACAATGTTGAGGGAATTATTTGTTTAGCAGAGTGATGGCGTTTGGGAAAAAACTGTTCTTGTGTCTAGTTGTTCTGGTGTGTAGTGCCCTATAGCGTTATTTTGAGGGAAGGAGTTGAAACAGTTTATGTCCAGGATGTGAAGGGTCTGTAAATATTTTCACAGCCCTCTTTTTGACTTGTGCAGTATACAGGTCTTCAATGGAAGGCAGGTTGGTAGTAATTGTTTTTTCTGCAGTCCTAATCACTCTCTGAAGTCTGTGTCTGTCTTGTTGGGTTGCAGAACCAAAGCAGACAGTTATAGATGTGTAGATGACAGACTCAATAATTCCAGTGCACCCACACCCACACCCACACCCGAGATGGTATTCAGTAGGTTCTGACCAGCTCTAGAGAACCGGTAGCAGAAACTTTGAGTAGTCCAGAGAAATGGCAAATACCACCTCTGATTGGCCCTGCCCCTATCTATTCTCTGCCTCCCGAGCCCAGCTGGTCATCTGGGTCTTTTTTTGTTACCCTGCACAAGAGAACAGAGCTGGAAATCAGGTTAGTGGGATGGGGAGGGAATTGAGATTTTGCAGTAACCTCCTGCCACATCCTCCAACCCACGCCCACAGAACCGGTAGCAAAAAATTTTTAATCCGATCACTGACACACACACAAGTTATAGCTTCAGACCAAGAGAATGATAGTTGTACTTCAGGTTCAGGTTTGTCTATTTTGTCTTCAGCCTCAGAGTTACAGAGTTGATCAATATGTGAATTTTCTTTCTCAAATAGGATTAATGCAAAATTTAGATGCCAGCTACTGGATTGGTCTTAGTAATCCGGATTTTGACAATGGATGGCAGTGGACTAATGAACAGCCTTTAAGATATTTAAATTGGGCTCCAGGTGAGTAAATATATATAATTAGAAGGCCATTGGTATTTCATAAAGAAAAATGTAAACATTTAAGGAAATTAAAATTAGAATATATAAAAGTCTTATTATCTTATCTAAAATTATTCTTTATTTTTCTTCTTTAAATAGGTTCGGCTAGCATTTAAAATTTTTGTAGTCTTTTACGTGTGTGTGTATGTGTGTGTGTGTGTGTGCCTGTGTCTGTGTCTGTGTCTGTATGAAATATTTATTATATTTTTATTTAATAGACACTTTCTCTAGAAGTGCTCTAGCATTCTTATATGAAGTATATAAGACTTATATAAACATTGATTCTTACAGTATTGTCACCTTCACTATTTTCATCACCCTGAAGATGCCCCTGATCCTGACAGAAAACTCTTAAAAGTGTTTAGCTGAATGTGGTAATAATCCTCTTTTGTAAAGTTCATAGGCCTGTCCAAGGTGACTCCATTTCTCACTAATGGGCCACCTAATTTCTGTCACTCATGACAGTTGAGATGGAAGCTGTGCCTTGACTTGTTCTGCCACAAATACAGACTTGATCTGGCTGGCTCCTTTGATCTGATCAAAAGGGTCACTGATTGAAGGTAGGCAACCACTACAATCCAGTTCATCGAAGGAGAATACCAGTTTGGCTGGCTGTCTTGTTCGGAGGGATTGTACTGAAGCTTTGTTGAAATGAAGCATCCTTTCAAAGCTTTACACTGTTCTAATACTTAGCATTATAACAATTGGAAAACTGTCATAAGGTTGATTTGCTTACAGATAAAAATGTTATCATCTCGGACATCAAACAGTGATAGGATAATCTAGTTCACTGTCTCTTACAGGTAGCCCTTCTTCAGAAACAGGAAAAAACTGTGGATTGATGCATGGTAGGATTGGCAAATGGGCAAATAATCTGTGTGAACAGAAGCATGGATACATCTGTAAAAGAGTGAACTCTTCAGTACAGGCATCTGGACCTTCTCCAGGTAAATTGTAAACTGTAAATTCAGTTAACTTTATAAATATTGTTTCAATAATAATCAGATAATCAGAATTGGAAGGGACCTTATAGGTCACCTAGTCCAACCCCTACCCAAGTGGGAGACCCTACACCATTTCTGACAAATGGCAGTCCAATCTCTTCTTGAAAGTCTCAAGTGATGGCACTCCCACAACTTCCGAGGGCAAGCTGTTCCATTGGTTGATTGTTCTCACTGTTAGAAAGCTTCTCCTTATCTCCAGGTTAAATCTCTCCTTGTTCAATTTCCATCCATTATTCCTTGTCTGGCTTTCAGGTGCGTTAAAAATAGCTTGACTCCTTCCTCTCTGTGGCAGCCCCTCAAATATGGAAGGCTGCTATCATGTCTCCCCTGGTCCTTCTCTTCACTAGACTAGTCATGCCTAGTTGGTATGAATGGCATTCGTGTTCCAGATAACATTTTTTTAATTCTTTTCCTACTGAGGGTTGCTGGCCACTACTGGACTGTGGCCTATACAGAATTGGGCCATGTAAGTGGCTGGCTGGAGTGTGTGCACAGGCACAGCTCAACTTACATGAGTGAAGGGCCAGTGGGTGCTATTGTGCAAGCTCCATGCATGCATGCCAACCTACCATTTGCATAAGGGCTGCATGCATGTGCAAGTTCGTACAACCCAGTTCCCCTCTGCAGCCAGGCCGTCAAATTTTAATATGAAATGTAGCACACCTCTTCGATGAGTTAGATCCTGAAGATTTGCAGAACTAAATGTATCTATGCATAGGAAAGATCTTAAATTGCAGATGGTCCTCATCCTATGACAAGATACTTAACAATCATTCAAAATTAAGATAGACCCAGAATTCAGGTGCTGTAAAATACCTCTAGCCATCATAAAATGTCATCTCATTCCTCACCTGCTTCCTGAGTTCATGTAACTGCATTTCAAGGACTTGGCAACTACCTTACCTTTCAGACCAGTTGTTATGTCCTGCAATCAAAAACCATGATTTGTGCCATAGTTACAAAATCTGGCCCAACCATAGTTGTAAATCAACAACTATCCCTATTAATTATATATACATTTCTGTACTCACTGGCGTAGTTTTAGGTTTTCTGCCAAATTTATTTTCAAAAAAATTTATTCACTATAAATTTCTATGAATTAAGATGAAAGTTTTGAAGGAAAGCAACAGTCTGATTAAAAAATAGTCATGCCAATTAACATGCACTGCAAAAAAGCATTATATAAGGCATAAAAAGTATCTGCCTGATCCATGAAAAAGTAACTTCAAAAATCAGTTTTGATTATAATAAATCTTGATCACACTTCTGGCAAATATCCTCATAACAATGGACAAATTACTCTCATCTTTAATAAGAATTGTCAGATTTGCTTCTGCTAAATTCTATTTATTGAATTAATTGCATCATAATACAAGGTCAAGATTTTCTCCCTACTTCCACTCCCAATTCTTGATGGTGTACATATAACTATTGTCTTTTTTAGATGATCTTAAGCCAGTTAAATGTCCAGGTGACTGGGTTGGATATGCAAAGCACTGTTACCGTCTGAACAGAGATCGCAAAACGTGGAAGGATGCCTCAGTCTCCTGCCAAAAGGATGGTGGACATTTACTAAGTATACATGACATTGAGGAATACAGCTTTGTTTTTTCTCAGCTTGGTTACAGTAAGTATATTTGGAAGGCTTATTTCCTCTTTCATATACTCTGTGGGTACATGGATTCCAGGAAAAGAAAGGAATAGCTACTGACGTTGGTATCACAAGGGGAAAAAAGTGTTTATCTAGGCCTTAAAATATTTGTAAAAAATCCACTCAGCTTGTGTGGTTTAAATGATACAACAACTGCTGCATACATCCGTGGCAGTTTAGCACAGACATTTTCCAGGAAGTTATGTCACATATAGACTCTCTTATATCCTGATCAACATAGCACAGAGTTATATCAGTGGAGGATTATATACAACCTCTGGACTTCATTCATTACATTTGAGAGCAAATGAATAAAATAAATTTATCTTTTAGAATCAACAGATAATTTGTGGATAGGCCTAAATGACCAGAAGACTTCTTCATATTTTGAATGGAGTGATGGTACTACAGTGAGATTCATCAGATGGCAGAAAGGAGAACCCACACTTATAAGCAACGTGCAGGAAGACTGTGTTATCATGAGTGGGAAGGTAACAATAAAGACCTTTAATTGTCTGGTGGAGTTTTTTTTTCCTCTTCCGTTCCTGCTTGGATAAAATTTGTGTCTAAAAATTTGTTTAATGCAACCTATTTTCCATAACACAATATATTCCACAGATATACATTTCTTAATTTTTTCCTCTTTCCACTTTTAAAATTATGAACAACCCGAAAGAGTTTTTGTTCTGACATTTATCATATTAAAAATTGAAATTGACATATTTGCTGCTAGTATCTCTTCTTACAATTGTTTGTATGGAGTTTTAATATTGTGTTTTTTTTTAATGTGGGCTGGAAATAATTCTAACTTCATGGTTCCAGGAGCCCTATGACCACACTTTAAGAATCACTGTTTTTGCTAATAGCAATAGCACTTAGACTTATATACCATTTCACAGTGCTTTTACAGCCCTCTCTAAGTGGTTTACAGCATAAGTATATTGCTCCCAACAACCTGGGTCTTCATTTTATCAACCGTGGAAGGATAGAAGGCTGAATCAAGCTTGAGCCAATGAAAATCAAACTGCCGGCAGCTGGCAGTCAGCAGAATTAGCCTGCAATACTGCATTCTTACCACTGCACTACCATAGTTCCCATCTTGAGAGCCTCCAAAACAGGGTGGAGATAATTTTATTTGATTAACGGGTTAGTATAGAGTTGTCCCATTCTAATTTATCTGCCAGCTCTAGGTTAACGCCTGGTTTAAATTATTATGGATGTGTATATTTTGGAGTGTATTGCTTTCAAATATTTTTGATGCGTTCATTCTTTTAATGTTAATATTTGCCTGCTGGGTTGCTGTTAAGTACTGAGCTAATTTTATTGATCATGATGATTGCATTTTTGTTTAACAATATTCTTTTATAAGGGCATTATTATTTATCACAGTCAGGAATGAATACATAAGGGTGTTTAACCCTATATAGAAAGGCTGGGCTTTAATACTTGGAGGGGGGAACAGGACGTTAGTAATAAAGTGATTAATTATGTCAAGTAATTGTGATTATTAGTCACACTCATAAACATTATTTTGGGGGGAAATCTTCATTTATAAAAGCAACATAATTCATACTTTTTAGCTTATTCTACGGTTTGGTAATTACAGAGGGCTCTAGGAGCTGCTAAATGAACAAACATTTAGAAGTCTCATGGAGCCTTTAACTGTCCATTCATACTTAAATAAATTGCTACTATGTAATTAATACTTTGCTTTAAAATGTATAATAGATTGTAATAAGTAAGTAAATTAAGAAAGACATTCTGAGTTCAATTGAGCATTTTTTTCAGAAGACTGGGTATAAAATTTTAATCTGCATTGACTGAAAAACAAAAGCTTATTTAGGTGTGCGAAATTTGGATTTAAGTGTGCTCCTGGCTGTATATTTGGTGGGAAAAAAACCCCCAATGCAATTATATTTTATATTTTGGAAACTTGAGGTAATATTGATGAATTATATTTTGGAATAATTTAATTTTTGTGGACTAAAGACTATGTTTACCATTCCCAACTTAATTTAAATATTTATACCTTTTTTTGCAAGATGTTAGTATGTCTGCAGATTTTTGACAAATTAAGCTATAACAAGTATTGTGCAGTAATCCCGCTCATGAAAAAAAAGCAAAAATATAAATCATAAAAAATAGGAAGGGGTAAAAGTAATGGATTCCTTTTCAGTGAGGTTTGTTCATTCTTCCATCCTCAGAATGGATACATGGCGGATCATTTCTGCGAAGATGAATTAGGATACATCTGTAAAAAAGAGTCTTCAGAATTTCTTCCTGAAACCGAAGTAGTTGCTGATCCAAAATGCCAAAAAGTAAGTTAAAGAATTGTGTAGCTCTTGATCTTTTATAATAGTTATTCATTTTCTTATAAAGTATTGGAAATATCAACCAGAAAGCTACTTTTGCCTTCAGATTAATAGTCTCCAGTGGTGGGATTCATTTTTTTTTTACTACCAGTTCTGTGGACCTGGCTTGGTCATGGCAGGGGAAGGATACTGTAAAATCTCTATTGCCTCCCCACTCCTAGGAGAAGATTACTGCAAAATCCCATTCCCCCCCACTCCATTAAACTGCTTTCCAACTCCGTTCTCTTATGCAGGGCAACAAAATAAGACCCAGCTAATCAGAGGGGACTTGGGAGGCAGAGAATAGATGGGGGCAGGGCCAGTCACAGGAGATATTTGCTGGTTCTCCAAGCTACTCAAAATTTCCACTACCAGTTCTCCAGAACTGGTCAGAACCAGCTGATTACCACCTCGGGTCCCCTCCACTCCTAACATTGGTGTCGACTCTTAGCAATCACATAGATAGAAAGATTTTCTCTGCAAGATTATAAAAAAACAATTTATTCACATTTCCATATGACAAAAAAACAAACAAACCACCTGAGATAATGGTTAAACTGAAGGAACACATTTTGATACATATTTTTAAATCTGAAACTGAAAAATGCTGATTTGTAGTGGCACAAGTACAAATTTACTTTAAAGTAAACTGTGGTGTAAGTTGTATGGACATCCAAATTTCAGCAATGTTCTTACAAAATTAAACAAATCTGAAGCTTGACACGGATTCTGAGACTATAACTATGTACCATATAAAATATGAACTTAAAATAATTAAAAGTCACTCTTTGATCAAGATAACTTGGTGAATCGGTGAATCTTTGATTTGGGCAGGATGAAAGTGAAAAAATAAATAAATAAATTTAGGCTAATATTATTCTGTGTGTATGTATGCTATGTTAACAGGGCTGGAAAAGATATGGCTTCTATTGTTATTTAATTGGAAAGACACTTGGAACATTTTCAGAAGCAAAGACATCTTGTGAAACAAACCATGGATTTCTGATCTCTGTTGAGAATAGGTAAATATGTTGAAAGGGACAGAACAAAATATTCCATCTATCTATCAAATATCTATCACCTATCTATCATCTATCTATTTATCATCTATCTATTTATCATCTATAAATGAACTCAAGATAATTGGACCAACTATTTGCAGAAGATTATTCACTTTTTTCTCACTTTACTTAGCAAAGAAAGCAGATTTTCTGTTTATCTGCTTTTTAAACTAATTTACTTTAAAGTAAACTGTGCTGTGATACCTAGTGTAACATATGAAAAACATGTAGGCATGGCAATCATGTTCACTGATTTCATTTCTTAATTCTAAACTGTCCATTTATTATTTTATCCTGATGTTTGTGGATTATTCATTTTTCTGAATTATACCTAATTTTTCATATTAATTTTATGTGAGTTCATTTGACATATCATCTAAAGCTTGGTTTATTTCCCTGAGTTTTCTATGGATTGCTGATTATTGTTATGATTAATTAATATTTCAAAATGCTTTCCATAAATGCTTTCCAGGATATATTTTAATGTTAATTCAGCTCTTCAGTTCTTCCAGTTTCCAAAAGATGCTTCAGAGTGTATAGAGTGTTTCCCAAACTCAGCAACCTAAGATATGTGCATCAGCTCCCAGAATTCCCCAGACAGCTGGCGAATTCTGGGAGTTGAAGTCCACAATGTTGAAAATTATGATGCAGATAGAGAGTCAGATAGAGAGAGAGCTGCCACATGTGGCTTTTTTATTTGTAACAGGGATTGGGATTGGGCAGGCTCTACCATGGTTGGGGATGGTTGCCTCAGGAAGCATTTACTAACAGGCCTCAGTAAGATGGAGTTATGTCCTTATCCTAAATCTTCAGAATAATACTGCCCCATAGTCTTTGTTGTAAGAAAGATTCAACTCCAATCCTGCTAGTCTCAATGTATATTATGGGAGCAAACTCTTTAGCTCAGGAATCTGTAAATCTAGTATTGTACTTTCCGATCTGAGAAGATAATAATGATAATGCTGATTTTATCCTACCTTTTTAATATATAGAAATGTACTGAATACTCCTGACTCCCACAAGAATCCTTTGAGGTGGATTGACTAATAAAAGTATAAATTGGGTTTAGGATTAACCATCTGCAGATTCTGAAAACAGAAAATCAGAGACCATCCTGATTTGAATTATTTTTACCACAGATTTGAGCAGGCCTTCCTGACTAGCCAAATTGGACACCGTCCTGAAAAATATTTCTGGATTGGCCTTTCGGATGTAGCGAATCCAGGAACTTTCAACTGGACCAATGGAGACACCATTCAGTTCACTCACTGGAATGCAAAAATGCCTGGTATGGAGTCTGAGTAAATACATCCTAGCAGGAAAGCTTTTATCTTGTTTAGCTTGTCTATGGAGATGCATTAAATCTGGCTCTGGTCTTCCATTCTGCCAGGCCCAAATCCCGGCTGCGTTGCCATGAAAACGGGAGAAGCTGCTGGACTGTGGGATGTTGTCAATTGTGAGGAGAGGGCTGCCTTTCTTTGCAAGCATTTGGCTGAAGGGGTGACGCCTCCTCCAATCCCAAGAGCAACACCCCCTCCCCCATGTCCTGAAGGATGGACTGCAAGTCCAACGAGGAATGTGTGCTTCAAGGTGGGTCAGCTTGTTTTGGAGTTGAAACATTGGCTTGGTCAACCAGCCCTTTGAGACAGGCCAGGTCAAGAGCCAGACACTGCAGCAGCCTCCCAGCTTCTCCTCCTCTCCCTTCCAGGGAGAATGTGGTGCCCTTCAGTCATTATTAACAATCCTCTGAAAAGCCAATACAGTGATTGGAAGAACAAAGAAAGAATCATAGAGAATATGGAAACTGATCACATTTCTTTTCAGTCAGCCTATCTTTGGCCCACTCTCTGAAACCCCATTAATTATATTAAGACACTGAACTACTGTGTCCCAAGAAATCCTGATCTAAGCAATCCAATCAAGATAACTATTATTACTGAATTAGCCTAAGACGGTTATGGGACTAATAGAAAGGTTACAAGTTGGCATTTTTGTTGCAATCAATGCTTTGTATATTTTTAACTCTTTGTAACTTCATTTGTGTGGATTTGTCATAATATTTTTTTCTTCCATTCAGTTGTGTTTGTTTCTCAGAGACTGCTTAGAGAAATCCCTTCAGAAACGTGGGCAACTTTTTTTGATTAATAGTTTGTCATTGCCTCTTTCCTAGGACTGGACTGATAGGTCCAAAGCTACCCACCTGGCTTTATGTCTAAGGCGAGATTAACTCCCCCAATTTTCTAACCTGATGCCTTTAATCACTACACCAAACTGGTTGCCTATCTGTTTTTTAGACACATGTCTAAATCATCATCATTACCATTATCATCATCTTGCATGGAAAGAGGAGTGGGGAATATGTATAGAAAATCCAGCAAGTGTTCTTTTACATCCAATTTGCATAGGTCTATTCATGGCAGCAGCAAAAAACACCTCTCCATTTAACTTCTTCCATTTTCTCTTTAACATCAATAGGTATTCTATTAGGAGTTGTGTGGTAGCCTAGAGATGGAGCTCACACCTCACAATCAAGAGGTTGTGAATTCGATCCTAGGTAGAGGCAGATATTTCTCTCTCAATGGGACCCAGTGAGAATATATCCACTGAACAAAAATCCACATTGGCGACAGGAAAGGCATCTAGCCAGAAAATACTCAGCTCCATTCAGTTGCCCAGACTCCATCCCATAAGAGATTATGGGAGTCATTGAAAGATGATGATGGTGATGATCAATAGGTATCCTATTGGTTAGAAAAAAGTAAAAACAGAATGTATCAAACACAAAAATTTGGATAATTAATTGAAAAGATAATTAAATATGGGCCAAGAAGGGAAGTAGACAACTGCAGTGAGTATTCTCATTTGTAATGAGATATATTTATATGCATTTAGGCATATCAAGTGAAGAGACCTGAAAAGAAAACTTGGTATGAGGCACGTGACTTTTGTACATCAATTGGAGGAGACCTGGCTTCTTTTCATAATAGCCGAGAGTTTTTTTTACTGAATGAACCGTGAGTATAATAAACTTTATTTTTTTTATATCTCAAGGCAGAAACACTCCTGGCAAAGGGTTTATTGGAGCACTGAATTCATCATCATGGAATACATAACTAGTGTAAACTTCATAATCCTACATATATTCATTCTGAAGTACTTTGCATATAGTTTTCTCTCAGGGCCCTCAGAATTAAAGATCCAATTTATATCAATAATCAGTGGATAAATTCCCCATCACGATTAAAAAAATCCAACTCCTTAAATGGTTACAACAGAAATAACACTGAATGGACAGAATTCAGATCCAGATTCAGTCATAATTACCATCATCTCAATAAAGTATTATCAATAAAGTATTATCAATAAAGTATTAGTATTATCCTATACACAATTACTTAAATAAGTTCTATAGTAGTCATCAGAATCTATTCCCATTCAAGTAGGTATATTTCAGCTGTAAGGGCATATGCCATATTTAAGATTTTGGACATTTCTTGGGATTATTCATTTGCTAACTTGCTAATGTTCTGTGTGTGAAAAAAAACACAAAGAAAATTGCAGTGTTGTATTTAATCAAGACATGTGCATAAATTATATTTTAACATATTTGCTGATTATTATATTTTAGATTACAATATCAATACAGCTGGGTTGGTTTAAGAATCATGGATTCCAGCCCAGGATACACTTGGACTGACGGGTCTCCTGTAAGTATATGATTAGCATGCAAAATGCAAATGTTAACTGGAATTTCTGGTATTCTTAATATTTAATGTAATAAAGTATTAGTAATATTTCTTGTAGATATTTTCATAGGCATAAAGCAGTATTCTAGTTAACAGTTTAAGTATTAAAATCTTAATCTAACAAGATGTTGCTATTTGATTTGATTCAGGTTATTTTGACAGTTTCTGTGGCTGCTAGCGGTTTGATTGCATTGTTCTAACCAAACTTCTCAGTGACTTTTCGTTGCCATCAACAATGGTATCCTTCTGGATTAATTCTGTGAACTGGGAAAGAAGAACACTATTGTCATGATCCTTCTTTCTGAAGGAAGGATTTCAATTGGCATGATTATCAAATTCTAAACCATGAATTATGGTTTGTCCTCAGAGCCTGATACCCTTCCCACTTTTATTTAGTATCTATCTAAAACTGGTCAGGAATATGATCCATTGATATGAGGTTAAATATAATCAATGAGGGATATATAACTTTATACCTCAGCCATTGATTCATTTGAGTCCCCTTTTCTGATTTCTGGAGTTTACTAGGTTCTGGAGGGGATAAATATTCTAATTTATTAATTTATTAAATTTATATGCTGCTCATCATACCCATAAGGCTACTCTGAGTGACTTACAAAATAGTAAAAAGATAAACATAGAAACAGTTGAAATTGAGAATACTTAAATAATACCTTAGGGATTTTAATCCCATCAAGATGAGGCAGTTTGAAGTTAAGAAGCAAACTGGCTGCAGTGAGATTCCATCTCTAGTTATGGATAGAATGATGCTCCCTTGAGATATACTGCAATTATGAGGAGGAGATACTTTTGCACAACTTCATCTATTGTGCCATTTACAGCCTGTCTTAGAATGTGAGACATTATTCACAGTCACACCTATCTTGCTTTCATACTTGGACTGCTGAAATATGCTGTACATGGGGCTGCTTTTAAAGACTATATAGAAGATTCCCCTATTGATTCTTGTCCTATCCTCAAAACCTTGTCCTGTCTCCTTGTCCTACCCTACCTTCAATGTTTTATAACTCTATCACAGGTCTTCTAGAACAACATAAGAACAAAGCCATACAGATATCTTGAAAAGTTACAACTATTGTTAGCTCCTCTTTTAGCATTACACCATATTTTGTGTTAAAATATGTGAAGTTGTATATCAATACACTGGATCACTGAATCATGCTAATATGAAAAGTACATGCCAGCTGCCACTTCTTCAACCATGTCGGTAAAATTTTGCTAATAGTCCATCAAACATGTGCACATTATTAAAAAGTAGTTATTGTACATTTGTTTCTTTTTCCAAATGTTAAAATTTATGGCTATAGAAAGTGAATATGTAAATATATTTTAATTTTACTGTAGGTAAACTATGAACCAGCATTATATTGGTTTTCAGAAAATGAAAATAATGAAAGATGCAGATCAATATGGGGAAGTAAAAGATATTGGGCTGAAGAGAAATGCTCGGAGTTCTATAATTGGATCTGCCAAATGACAAGAGGTAATACGTTTTTCTTTCTCATGTAGTTTATTAGTATAAACAACAGAGATTTATTCATTGTACAGCTGTAAACCTTGTTTTTTTTAGCATTCACATGATGGTCCCTTTCTTTTAAGGGAGAAATTTAGGAGTCTTAAATACAATTAACTTTTACTGCAGATTTTATATTCATATATACAACTTAAGTAATGCAATACAATGTCAAATATATATGATGCTCAAGTATTTAGTACATGGTATTATTGATGACAAAAAATAATTTGTAATAATAATAGCAATAATGTTATTAATCTGTTAAACTTATACACTGCCTGACTTTCAATGATTCTGAGCTCATAAGAATCAAACACATAAATTACAATAAAACCAATAAAAAGATAAAGGATGTTAAGTGCAGAGAAGTGAGGGATCTGATTCTTCACGAGCCAGGGCTTTATAGTTCTTTAAAAAATGGGGGCCATTTGGATTTTGGGGAAAACTGGAATCTAGATTTCTATTATTTTTTTCCCTTGCAAATGCAGAAGTACATTAAGCTAGTACAACATTTCACTTTTTGTGGATTGCCTTTTGCAAAATGGAGTGATAAATTTAGTTGAATTCCTTATAATTAAAATATTTAATTTTGCAGGTTCAACCTTAAAAGAAGAACCAAATGACAACTTTGGTATGTTGGGCAATTTAATGTCAGAAATATAATATTTATTAGAAGCTATGGCTACGCATTGTATTTTAGTTTGATTTGAATCAGATTGCTTTGAGTTAAATTTGGCTGTATGACATAAAGGAACATTTCTAAAATGTGATGCATGATGGTTGAGTTTGTGAGCAGACTAATTTCTCAGACCACTGAATAAAACTAGACATTAGCTCTGCATGATGTAGAACTACAGACATTGTGATTTTCCTTATGTGAAAGGAAGGTGTCATAGTTCTCTTCATAGGCATTAATTGACTAGGGATTTCCCTAGTATTTTTAGAAATATAACCAAAGAGATGTTACTAAAAAAAATAGGGTACTTTTCATTTCCATAAGAAATCATTGGACATGTTTAGAAAACATTCCCAAACATGCAAAGCTTTAATGAAGTGATAGTGATTTGATTGACTCAAGTGAGCTAAAGCAACAACCCATTTCTCTCTCCAGCTAGTTCTGAAAGCAAATTAAAATGGCCTTGTTGAGGTAGTCCCCATTAGGAGAATGAATGCACTTAGGGAAATGTAGTGAGAATGATGTTGAATAACACACAACCAGCATACAGATACACTGAATAGTAAAATGTAGGTTTTACTTTCAGTAAACAGGTAAACAAAGTCCAACAAACAGTCCAAATCATACATGGTTAAATCAGTTAGTATCAGTCCAGGGATAATCCAAAAATGAAGTCAAGTATCATAAACAAAATTCAGTAAATGGAGTTTGCTAACAGTTGCAAGACTCACAGCAATCCAAGTAGAACGACGATCAGGCAATATGGCAAAACAGGAATTGCAAGGAGAAAGAAACCAGGTTTCTGGCCCCATCTTATGGCCATTGGAGGAACCTCAGCCAATCACAATTTCAGCATTCTCTTAAAGATACAGTATTAAATTACTATCCTGGTTTATATATTTCCAACCCAACTGTTAGGTGACTATCATTCCTAACAGGCCTCCTCACTGCTTTGCTTTACACTGCTTTGTCCTATGTCTCATCCAAGTATATCTAATACACAGAAGAGATATTTGAGTATTCTGGAATATTTGTGTAGAAGCCTCTTCCAGTTATTGGAAGCACTTAGTTGAGGTCAGTTTGCCAGCTGTTACACGGATGTGTCTTTTGGGTGTGCTTGTTCCTATTAAGAAGATCTTGGGAGGAAGAGCTTTGCCCAAAAGGACAGCACATAATCATCAAGTGGCTCTGTTTGCTTTGTGATTTTGTGAAATGGATGCGAAGGGATCCTAGACATATAAGTCATTTCTTCTACTTATTTTGCAGAGAGTAATTATACAAGAATTGAAGATGGATGGATTCAATTTGAATACAATGAGTATTATTTCAGTAATACAACAATGCCTGCAGAAAAAGCCCGGAAGTTCTGCAAACAACATCATGGTGATCTTACCACCATTGAGAGTAAACAAGAAAAAGAGTTTTTGTGGAAATATGTAAGAAATATATACAATAATTACCTATGAAAAATAACAAGCTTTATAAAGTATATGTGTGGTAGGTGCATATGTATGTATGTTCTGCAAAAAACATGGTGGTGATCTTACCACCATTGAGACTAAAGAAGAAAAAATATTTTTGTGTAAATATGTAAGAAATGTATGCAATAATTACTTATTCAAAATAAATGGTTTCAGAAAATGTACGTGTGTGTGTGTGCGTGTGTGTGTGTGTGTAATATATGTGTGTGTGATGTGACATCCAGAAGTTTTCAGAAATTGAAGAATTTCTTTTTAATTCTTGGATAAAATATATATTAAGATGAGGCCCATTAAATTAACATCAATGGAAGTTTAATGCAGTCAACTTGGTTGGAAGCAAATTATTTAAAAAACAATAATGTAGGTGCTACCGTTTTAATCAAATGAACATTCAAAAGTACTACAATATTAAAAAGCAGAACATATTTCAAAATTATATCATTTATTTTATGATTAGTTGCTTCCATTCAAGATGACTTGCAAATCACCATTACTTTAAATTAAAGCATTAAATAATTATTTTTATTTCCTATTCTTTCTTTTATGTATTAGGACTACCATTATGGAATTGGTTATGATTCTTACATTGGTTTAACCTTGGGTCTTGACAAAAAGTTCGGGTAGGTGAATAATGTATATAAAACATTAACAAATGTTGCAGTGTGCAATATAATTCTGTTTTAAATTATTTTTAATAATACACTTGATTAAAAGATGTTATTAAGCTCTTAGCAAAACCCTTGCCAAGATTTTGACAAGTTTTTTTTAAAAAAACAAGATTTATTGAAGGGAAAGCAAAATGATTTTTTTTTAAAAAAAAATCAGCTTTCATGACAATGCTTTCATTTTGGAACACAATTTATCACTCTGTTTCTTAAGATAAGCACTTCTTCAGTTTTTAGTAATCTATGAGCCAGCAAGGAAGCAGTTCACCAAAGAATGTGCAAATAGTCAGGCTGTGAATCTCTCTCAAGCTCTGAACATGCCATTAGAGATTTGATAATAAAAAACCTAAGCACAGACATGTAACTGTGCAACAATGAATGTTGCCATGTGATATTTCAACCTTTTGAACATTATTAGGGTACAATCATGACTGAGCCCAAAATTTTTGTTGCTAAGCAAGACACTTATTAAGTGGATTTTGTTTCATTTTACCACTTATTTTAACTCAGTTGTTAAGTAAATCATTGCTGTTGTTAAGTTAGTAACATTTTACTTTGCTCATTAGAAAGTCACAAAAGGCCACAAAAAGCCACATGACACCAGAAGACTGTACCTGTCCCAAATATGAGTCAGTTATCAAGCATTTGAATTTTGACCATGTGACCATGGGGATGGTGCAATGGTGATAAGTATAAACAATAGTCATAAATCACTTTTTTCAATGCCGCTATAACTTTGAATGGTCACTAAATAAATTGTTATAAGTCAAGGACTACCTGTATTAGAGTCCCAGAATTTCTTTAAAAAAAATCTAGATAATTGACAATATAGTATGCTTTTATACATATCAACCTGTGATTCAATGACTGTCAAAATTAGGGTGGCACTGAGTGAAGGGACCCTCAACTGGTCCTCAAAGTTCTGGCCATGATTGCATGAACAGCATTTGGACAATAGCTGGCAAGCAGCTTATGACTTGTTGCAGCATCCTTTGGCCATGTGATCACCCAAACTTTTCTGAAGGCTTTCCACAAGAAAAGTCAGCGGGGAAGCCAGCAAGGAAGGTTATGAATTGCTTGTATTATTTCAGTTATTTTTGTTTTACAATGTCCTTGGCAGGATTATTTTGTCTTTAAATAATGTAGAGATTGAATAACGGAAGTATATAAACCATTTGTAATTCTAATTCTTCTAGCCTCACAGCATCCGTTCTCAATCTTTCAGCGGTTTTTGTGCATTGAGAGCAACTATTTGGACCTCAACAGGAATGTTTTATCATTGTACAAACCATTTCATAAGTGGTGTGATTCGGAAATGGTTTTGCTTGGATTTTGAAGTTTCAGGATTGAAACAGACTTTTTCCAAAGCTTAGAATGGTCAGAAACAGTTTCAGGCCAATATTTTTCAGATATTTCAACAGCTACCTTTTTTCCCCTTCATCCTGCTATCTCTTTGGCAAAACAAGGAATAATAAAAAAGTAAGTTTAATAAATTCATGCATTGTAGATGACTGACAAATATTTTTCTTCAGTTGGATGGATGGAACTCCCGTGACATATGAAGCCTGGGCCCCCGGTGAACCCAACTTTTCAAATGATGATGAAAATTGTGTAGTTATGTATCATAATTCAGGCAAGTAAACAAAAACTTCATGTTTTTCACAGTTCCCAGTATGTATATGTTCAGGATAAGGTACAGCATTGTTTAATTTGGGCTAACTAGCACACATTTTCATAGATTCTACCATATATATATATCGGAAAACCATTATTTTGTAACTCTAATTGGCATGTTTTACATTATGATATATTGACATTAACAAAAGTATAATATTGTAGCATATTATAATATTAGAAGAGCCTCTGTGGCACAGTGGTTAGAGTGCGGTACTGCAAGCTACTTCTGCAGCCAGCCACCTGTAATTTGGCAGTTCAAATCCCACCAGGCTCAATGTTGACTAAGCCTTCCATCCTTCTGAGGTGGGTAAAATGAGGACCCAAATTATTGGGGGCAACATGCTGACTCTGTAAACTGCTTAGAGAGGGCTGTAAAGCACTATAAAGTGGTATATAAATCTAAGTGCTATATTCTCCAACCAAGAATTTATAGTTTTATCCATAGATCCAACTCTACTTTACTTATTTACTGTATTATACTATCCCAGGGAAAACCAATTTTCAATTCTCAGATACCCCAAATAGTCTTGGTTTTTTAAATTAAAAAGTTATTTATTTTTATATTTTACACATCTCTTCACGTGAGCAACGTGATTCCAGATTACATTTATACATAGTCATACTTACATTTCCAACTTTCTTATTTAATATCACATCAAATTATTATCCACTCCACTGACCTTTAAATAAATTTCTATTTCATATTTCAATTCATTAATTCAATATCAAAATAATTTCCTCACATATATTTCCAATTCTTTATCCCCTATTATTTCCATTTTCAGCTTAACACCTATTTTGTTTTGCCTTATACATTATTATCTTCATTAATTAACTCAAGACCAACATATAATAAACACTAAAAAAAAAAATAAAAAAAAAATCAATGTATTTAGGATCCACATGGTATATTCCTCATTGTTTTTTTCTTCAAGCTGATTGGTTGGGAATCTTGGTCTGTGTTTATTGGTCTTGGAGTTTGCTGTGTTCTGCTTGATTGGTGTTTCTAATATCTTCTGTTTGTTTTGTAGTGTTGTTGTCTTGGTTGGCTGGCAACATTGTGTTTCCTATATCGGAGGCCTTTAGTGCAGCTTGGCTTCGAGTAAACGGATGGCTGTTCTTTATTAGGAAGCTAGGTTTCATCTGGGTACCTGGTTGGGGTGTGTTTGAGCTGGAGATATCAAGGGGGGTCTGTTTGTGCCCAGGTGTTTGCTTGGCTTGTGGTGTGGAGATTTTTTTGTTTGTGAGTGCAGGCTTCCAGATAATCAACAGTCTGGTGGAGTAATCTCTTCTATTCATGCTTTCAGGTCTTCTTTCAATCTCTATGGCTTCTCTGATAATTCTGTAGCTGGGGTTTTCTATAGTGGCTAGGGTTTTGGTGCCACTGAAGTTGATGCTATGACCTGTGGCTTTCATGTGTTGGACTAATGAGGAAGTGTGTTCCAGCTTTTTTACTGCATTTTTTGTGTTCATCCAGGCGGGTACTTATTCTTCTATTGGTCTGTCTGATGTATGTGACAGGGCATGATGCATAGGGGACTTCATATATGCCTTGGTTTTCCAGGTCAATTTTATCTTTGGGGTTTCTTAGGATGGCTGCAGTCTTGATGTGATGCCTGTGTAGTATCTTACTGATTTTGTCTGTAGTACCTCTTATGTAGGGCAGGACAGCTGTTCCATAGGTCTGTTAATCTTCTAGGTCTCCATTATGTCTCAGTGTGTTTTTGTGGATCAGGCCTGTGATTTTGCTTTTGTGGAAGCCGTTGGCTGTCAGTACTTTAGTCAGGGTGCATAGTTCAGTCTTTATGTGTGTCTTGTCTGCCAGGTGCTTGGTTCTGGCAACTAGTGTTTTGGCCACGGAGTTTATCTGTGCTGGGTGGTGGTGAGATTGGGCGTTGAGGTAGCGGTAGGTGTGTGTTTTCTTCTGGTATATGGTGTGTCCTAGTGTGCCATCTGTTTTTTTGTAGATTAGTACATGTAGGAATGATAGTTGTTTGTTTATTTCCATTTCTATGGTGAATTTGATTTTTGGGTGTGTGCTGTTTAGGTGTGTTAGGAAATTGTTTAGGTTTTCTTTTCCATGGGGCCAAATGACAAATGTGTCATCGATGTATCTTAGCCATAGTTTGGGTTTGTGGGTGGCATTGGCTAGGGCTCTGGATTCGAATTCTTCCATGAACAGGTTTGCAATGATGGGTGACAGTGGTGATCCCATAGGGGCTCTTTCAATTTGCTTGTATCTTTGTCCTTTGTATATGAAATATGTGTTGGTTAAGTAGTGTTCTGCTAGTTCCATGAGGTGTTTGGGTGGTTGGTATTTATTTTTGATGATTTCTAGGGTTTCTTTTATCGGGACTTAAGTGAATAGTTTAAATTTAAAACAGAAACAGTTGTGAAAGCCTGACTCACAGACGAACACAATACAGAAGTCTGATGATGACAGATGAGATTCTGCTGAGACGTCGGTACAACTTTAAAAGCACAACTATAATGACGTGGGAAAATACCCGAACAAAGCTGAATACCATACATATAGATACCCACGAAAACTTAAGAAAAATACACACACACACACACACACACACACACACATATGAAGGTCTTGGCGTGTTCGGGTCTTTTCCCATGTAAAGTTGAGAGCATCTTGGCAACGTTTCGATGAGGTCCCACTCACCATTTTCAGCTGGTGTTTTCAGCTTTGTGCTTGTGCGAGCAAAGCGTGATCGGAGCTGCCATCTCCCTGTATATACTGGTGGGGAGGTTGGCTGTGTTGTCACTTCTTAATTTGTTGATGGAGTTGATGTTTGCAGATTGTCTGTTTTTTTTCGTAAGAACATGTGTTCTGAGGTATTGGCTGTGTGTCTATCAGCCTCCTGTGTTGTAACGATCTGGGTAATGGGCTGTGTGATGACCTTCTGAGTTCTATTGTTTTGACATCATGGGTCTTGTGCTGTAATCTCCTGGGTCGTAATGACCTGGGTCATGGGCTGTGTGATGATCTTCTGAGTTCTGTTGTTGTGACATCCTGGGCCTTGTGCTGTAATCTCCTGGGTCGTTGGCTGTGTACGTGAATGGATTAATAATAATAAAACCTCTTAACATCTCTTAATTCAATTTTGAGTTTCAAATCTCCCCATTCTAAATTCCTAATAAAAAAAATACCCAAATACATTCCATGTGGCATCGCCCTTTTATATCATATCTAACCCTTATCTCTAAATCTCTCGGCCTTGTCATTTCTTTTGGTTTTAGCTAGGTTTCCCTTTTCTAAATTTTCCTGATCTTTCCTTTTTATTTCCATCTGCCAGTCACCCATCTTCTCCCCAATGTGGGATTCTACCGGTTCGCACCTATTCATTAGAACCGGTTGTTAACATTCTAAGCAGTTTAGAGAAATGGTTGTTAGAAGAAATTACTGGCCTAATCCTGTAAGGAAGGCAGGAAGGAAACATTCTCGTGTTGCTTACAGAAACTGCCTCTCCGTTAACCCTTATTACATTCTTGGCAGGACTAGACTTCCTGTCTTAGGAACTTCTCTGGAGTTTTTCCCCCCTCCTTTGTTGGTACTTTGCTTGTGTGGAGTGACCATTCAAAGTTAGAATGGCACTGAAAAAAGTGACTTATGACCATTTTTCACACTTACGACTGTTGCAGCATCCCCACAGTCATGAGAGGCCAGGTGAGGAGATGCGTGCCTCGATGTGAGTGATGTTGAGTTGGCCACGCCCAGTCAATAACATGACCACAAGCCACGTCCACCTAGTCACATGACTATCAAGCCATGCCCAACACCTAAGCCATGCCCATAGAACCAGTTGTTTAAAAATTTGAATCCCACCCCTACTTCTCCCCCACCCTTTCCTGTTTTCTTTTTTGAAGTTTCTTCTTGTAGAATTTCTTCTTCTGTTGTTTAATCCTGGGAGTGTTTTTTCTTTTCTTTATTAACTCTATCATCAGTGACATAGTTTTAGTTCCTTTAATATCTTTTGGCAATATCTCTTTTTCTCCATGTTCATCTGAGGCACTTTCCTCTTCCTTTAACTCCTCCTCTGTGAAATTTCTTTGTTCTTGTACGGACTGCATCACCATTATTATTTTTTTGCCAGTACGTCCAATAATTCTCTTCTTTCTTTCAACATTCCTCTCAAAATTTGCAATTCTTACTTAAAGTTTTTGCTTATTTCTTCCATTTTTTTTGTTAATCAGTTGAGTTATTAAAATTCAAAACCATTTTTTGTGATCTTTGCCAAAAGTCTCCTTTTGTCTTTATTTCCCTTATTAATCCTTCTGTCTCTTTATCACAATCAGCACCCAACAGTTCCAGGAAATTGCATTCAAGTATCCTCTTAGTACAGCTTCTCCCACCTTTTTTAAGTTTCCGGGATTCTTGCTATTTTATTAGTCTTTTATCTCATAACAATTATAAGACCAGTGATTTTCCATAAAATTCTGAAGGAAAACAGTCTTTAACCATTAGATGGCGATATATCACTTTCCACTTTTCAAACTTCTTTTCTTTTCTCTTTTCAATTATATTACCAAATAGTCTTGTTAATGGTCAGGGATTAAAGCAATTGTATTCCAAAACAGATCGAAAATCACCTATCAATATCTTCTATAGAACCATATATTGGAATTATTAACATACAGACTACAAAAATAAGAAACAAGTTGTCCTCACTTACTGTCCACAACTGGGACTGGCAACTCCATCACTAAGCCATACAATCATAAGATGAAACACACATGGCTGCACCTGACTTATGATGGTGGTTCCAGCTGCACTTGTTCATTCAGTTGCCTGCAGTCATTAATCATGATGTCATATTTGTGACTTGCAGGTTTCCACAATCTTTCCCATTGATTTTACTTGTTGAAAGTTGGTTGTGAAAGTCACAAATGACAATCAAGTGACCATGGAACACTGAAACAGTCTTAAATGTATGTCAATTGCCCTGTCCCTGCATCACAATCATGTGATCATCAAGACATGGCAATGGCCGCTACTTTGAGGACTGGTTCTAAATCTCTTTTTTTAATGCCATTGCAATTTTAAATGGTTACTGAATGGTCAATAAGGGATAACTGCTTCTATTGTTTCACAAATACTGTAAGATTCCAGTATGCATTGTTGCACTTTCTGTTATTGTTCTCATCCTCATTATTTTAGTTGCAGCATATATATGAACTGTTGCTATTTACTTTAAGAATAATTTAATCTTCCCAGGTGACAATGTTTTTTTTATCAGGTGTATGGAATGATATAAACTGCGGTGCTGAGAGAAGCTTCATCTGCAAAAGACATAATAGCTCTATCCGTACAACTGCAGCGCCCACATTACCTGCAACTCCAAAAGGGTGCAGTGAAGGCTGGCTTTGGTATAATGATAAGGTAACTAATATAGCAATTACAAATATACCAAGAAAACATCCTAGAGGCGTTACAGGTGGTCCTTAATTTACGACCACAATTGAGCACAATTATGTTGCTAAGTGAGAAATTTTAAATGTTAAAGTGAGTTTTGCCCCATTTTACGACTTTTTTACACATTTGTTAAGTGAATCACTACAGTTCTTAAATTAGTAACACAATTGTTAAGTGAATCTGGTTTCCCCATTGACTTTGCTTGTCATAAGGTTTCAAAAGGGGATCACATGACCCTGGGACACTGCAATCATCATAAATATGAGTCATCTGAATATAAATCATGTGACCATGGGGATGTTGCAACAGTCATAAGCATGAAAAATGGTTCTTTTTCAGTACTGCTGTAACTTTGAACAGTCATTAAATGAACTGTTGCAAGTTGAGGACTCCCTGTACATATGCAAAATACTTGAATTTTGCCACAGGTAGCCAGTAGTCTTTTTAGACCTCTCAGTAAACATAGGTAGTTCAGAGAAAGATAACTCCATGGTGCTACATCACATCTAGGTACATCACATCTGTATTAGGTACAATATTTGAACACAGTAATCATGCCACAAAACAGAAATGTCTGTAATAGTAAAAATGAAAAATATGAATGTTATCAGTACAAAAACAGCCACATTTCTTAGAAATAGATTTAACATTTCAGTTAAATGCGACTTTTGCTTTGTTTCCATAAATGTAAATGGTGTTTTAAATGTTTTCTCTTTATTAATTCTTATATTATTTATACAATATAATAATAATATATTATGTTATTATTATAAGTAGTCCTCAACCTACAACTATAATTGAACAACAACTTACCATCGTGAGTCATGCTGATCATTAAGCTGGTTATCATACGACCAACTTGATTTTACAACTTTTTTAATGTAGCAATCGTTTAGTAAATGTGACAGCTGTAAAGTGAATGCAGCAAATGCCATTGTCATTAAATGAACCCACTGCCTGCATTGGGCAATTTTTTAATGGAAAACAGAAATAAACATCAGTTTTCAGCAAAAAAAAAAAAAGTAATACATTTTGGCCTTGTGACTATGGGATACTGCAAATGTCCATAAGTGTAGGCTCATTGCCAAATGCTCAAATTGTGATCACATGGCTGTGGGAGGAAGATAGATATTGGAACATTAAATCTGGATCATAATTACCTTTTGGGGAGCTACTCATAACAGTGACTAAGTCACAGATTATATGTGGAAGTCTCTCTGTAACTTACAGTGTTGTGGTACATATCCTTGAGCAATGTAATTTGAATCTTTCTTCTTTGCATGGTATCCCCAAGGCAGGCCACCAAGATTTTGAAATACTTCAGCACTTTTTTTTTTCATCAGTTCCTTTCTGCTGGATATTATCAGAACTAGGATAGCAGGGACAAATCTGGCTGTATAACTATCATTAATATAAAAATATTAAGAAGTCAATTACATAACAAAGAATAGATAAGGATGCATATAACTATGCTAACAAAAATGCTAACTTATTATTGCTCATATTTTTTCCAAAAGAAAGTGGAGAATTTAATTGTTACTAGTACAGAATTGCTTAATACGTTCTGCTAAAAAAATTACGATTTCATTTCATGATTGACGATTATATGTTGTTTCTATTTTATTTAATTAATCCTTCCTTGATTTATTAATTAATCAATTAACCAAGGTATTAATTAATCTCTTTTCATCCTTTTAGTGCTTTCAAATATTTGGCTTCAGAGAAGAGGAGAAGAAAAACTGGAGCGCTGCGCGTGATCACTGCAGAAACCTAGGAGGAAATCTGGCTAGTATACCAAACAAAGCTGTTCAAGGTACAATCATTTCTCTAAACCATATTTACTTTAATTATAAGAATGTCTATGCCCAATTTTCTTTCCTAACTTCCAGTTTATATAATCTTTTGCCCGTTGGAAAAGTTATTTAATTTTTTACTTATTTATTTATTTATTTAAATTTATATAGCTGCCTATTTACTCACAGTTACTTTAGGCAGTTTATAGACAATCAAAACACAATGTAGAAAAAAATAACAATAATAAAGTAATAATAAAATAACAACTCCATCCACCCACTCTCAGTGACAGCACACACTCAAATCAGCCATCTAATGAGCTCCATGCCACTCTGAGCTCTCCAGCACATATTCAGGCCTTAAGAAACAGTGTCAAAAGTGGGGCCCAGTCTAATTTCCAGGAAAGATAATGTTCCAGAGGGTATCTGCTGAATAAAATTCCACATTGGTAACAGGAAGGGCATCCGGCCAGTAAACATTCTGCTCCATTCAGTTGCTCAGACTCTACCCCACAAGGGATTATGGGATCATGAAAAGGAGGTGATGATGTTCCAGAGGGAAGGAGCCACCATGTAGAGATGGAAGCTGCAATCTGGATAACTCAGTTTATGGCAACAGTTTAAATTGTGTGTAATTTCTTCTGCCATCCTCCTTTTATTCTGTTCTGTTCTGTCAATGGTCTTGGTACCTTCTAGTATCCAAAAGGAAGGACTCTTCCTGCCAGAATATACCTGGCAGGCAGAAACAATTGAATAGAGGGGGTTCCTCTGATAGCCAAGCCCTATGCCATGAAAGGCTTTATAGATGATCACCTTAAGATGGGAACATAGAAATGGCTGTCATAAATATTGTATGTGAGCAGAGTTTGATCTGGTATTCTGAGATACTTTTTAAAATCTAACATAATCAAAATGAACTTTTGAAAAGTTGAAACAAAATTTAATTGGTGATAAGCCTGACAATACTTGGTTGTAAAATATATCTATATTCTCTCCACCCAGCTTTCCTCACAGTGCAGTTGAAAAGTGTTAGTGGTAATACTTGGACTGGATTGACTGACGTGAATTGGGGGGGACGTTTCCTCTGGACTGATGGGAGTGGAGTCTATTTTACAAATTGGGCTAAAGGGTCACCTCGTTCATATAAAGTAAGTCCAATTTGTTGGGTTTTTTTCTGTTCTATTTCCCCACAAATGTGGAATTAATCTGCTTGATGTTGAATTCCTACAATGATACAAAATCTTTCTTTTTGTGATATGGCTGGCCATATAAATTTAATGAATGAATGCATTTCATTCTTTAACACAGTGACTAAATTAGTAGATCAGCAAAATACTGTGAACATAATATATTTAGATTTCAGCAAGGTATTCGACAAAGTAGACCACAACCTACTTCTTAGTAAGCTAGAAAAAAGTGGAATAGATAGCACCACCACTAGATGGACTTGCAACTGACTGGAAAACTGTACTCAACAAGTAGTCCTTAATGGGTCTAAGTCTACATGGAGGGAAGTAAGCAGTGGGGTGCCACAAAGTTCCGTCTTAGGCCCAGTACTCTTCAATATCTTCATTAACGACTTAGATGAGGGAATAGAAGGGGAACTTACCAAATTTGCAGATGATACTAAGCTGGCAGGAATAGCTAACACCCAAGAAGATAGGCTCAAGATCCAGATGGATCTTGACAGACTAGAACACTGGGCCATATCTAACAAAATGAAATTCAATGTAGAGAAAAGTCAAGTCCTACACTTAGGCCAGAAAAACCAAAAGTACACTTATAGACTGGGTGAAACCAGGCTCAACAGCAGTAACTGTGAGAGGGATCTTGGAGTCTTAGTGGACAACCAGCTAAATATGAGCCAGCAATGTGCAACAGCAGCCAAGAAAGCTAATGCAATCCTAAGTTGTATTTACAGAGGGATACAACCAAGATCAAGGGAGGTACTAATACCACTCTATAAAACCTTAGTAAGACCACACCTAGTGTACTGCATCCAGTTTTGTTCACCACATTACAAAAAAGATGTTGAGACTCTAGAAAGAGTACAGAGAAGAGCAATCAGGATGAGTAGGGGACTGGAGGCTAAAACATACAATGAACAGTTGCAGGAACTGGGCTTGGCTAGTCTAGTAAAGAGAAGGACCAGGGGAGACATGATAGCGGTCTTCCACTATTTGAGGGGCTGCCACAGGGAGGAAGAGGTCAAGCTATTTTCCAAGACACTCAAAGGCCAGACAAGGAATAATGGATGGAAACTGAACAAGGAGATATTTAACCTGGAAATAAGGAGAAACTTTCTGACAGTGAGAACAATCAATCAATGGAACAGCTTGCCCTTGGAAGTTATGGGAGTGCCATCACTTGAGACTTTCAAGAAGAGATTGGACTGCCATTTGTCAGAAATGGTGTAGGGTCTCCCATTTGGGAGGTTGGACTAGATGACCTACAAGATCCCTTCCAACTCTGATTATCTGTTAAATCTGCACAAATGAATAAACTGGAACTGGAACAAGCATTATGATTGTGAAGGGATTATAAAGAACCCTTATTTGGGGTGGGGGGGAGGAATTTGAAACCTTTGAGTTTCAAATATGATCTAAGCATCAAAACTAGGTGCTTGCAGTACAAAGTTTTCCTTTCTATCTTTTTTTTTCCAAATTGCCATTGGGGTAAGAGTTTCACTGGGAGAATATTGTATCAAGTATCAGAGTTAACTCCCTCCAACCCAACTGTCCTGCATCTGTGTACACTAAATCTCTGTTGTCACAAGTGTTCAGCTTGTCTTAGCAAAGGAGGCAGAATGTGCAGCTTAGGAGCATCCTATCTGAAATCTTCTATAGGATTTTTAGAAGCAAACACACACATTTAAAATGTAAAGTAAGAGGTTCTTGAAACCAGCCCTTCAGGGTGATATGATAACTTTTCTGTCTGTTAAATAAAAAAAGTCTGCTGGGCTCATCAATAGAGCGTGATATCATACTGAAAAAAAAATCAGTCTTACTCCTCTTGCTCTTCTTATAAATGAAAAATATGCCATGAATATTATGTTTTGGAGAATTTTACTATTTTCAACACTCGGTTAAAGAAAATAAAAATCCAGTAAAATGAAATTTAAAATAAAAGATCTATAGAAGTAAAAAATAAAAATATATAAAATTAAAATAAGTATAGAGAAGTAAGGATCCTGCCAGATTTAGAATGCCTAACACATAAAACTTGCTCAGCCTTCAAATTCACAGGAGAAAAACACATTTCTTTTATTTTGAGATTATAAAAGAGGGGTTCCAGAAAGACTGTACCAATCATGATACCAGTGACTGTATTTGGCTTTCTTGTTATGCAAAAACATTATAGGGTGACTGTGTTTTTATGCTGACAAAACCTGAAAGGCTTGCAGGATATTGGAAAGTTGGAGTCTGTTCTTCTAATATGTCCTATATCTGCCAAAAAAATACTGGTAAGTTTGTAGATATCTTGGAAAATAATTTAGTTTCAGAGAATAAGGAAGTGTAATTTATATCAGGGGACCCCATCCTGTGGGCCACAGCCCACTGGTGGGTTGTAAGGGGTTTGCTTTGGAAATGGCCAGTGAGCATGTGCACGTGTGTTCACATCCTCACTTTTGTGAGCAGCAGGTGAGTGTAGGTGCGCATACTCATTTGCATGAGCAGCAGGTGTACATGCATGCTGCTCACACAAATGGAGCTGTGTACATGTGTGCTTGGTGGCGCTTGCACAAACCACCGACTGCCCCACTCTGCAAAGCCGGAAATGTTGGAGAACTCTGATGTAGATTATCTTCTACAGATCAGTATCAGAATTTGAAAAAAGTGAATTTGTGAACTATGATTTTGATCATTAGATAGGATAGATTCTAGGAAGCAACTTAGCAGCATGATGCAACTTAGGATAATCGGCGTGGTTAAGCATATAACTACATCGATATAATATTTATTTATAATATAATATTTCTTTCCTTTTCTTATTTTTCCCATTTTATGTTTGTGTTAGACTTATTATCGTTTTAAAAAGTTTTAATAAAAATTATACATATCAAAAGAAAAACCTGGGTGAAAAAGCATGATTGAGCCAAATAAGATTGCAACAAGCCAGATATGGTAACCAAGAAAATACATTGTGAAGGAATGTATAGAAATTGTAAATTTAAATCACATTACCATCAATTTCAGGAAGTATTTAAATAAAGTGAACTAACAAACATAATTATGATACCAAATATTAGAAGCCCAATATAAAGGCTTTTAGTAGCATTGAATCAGGTATTTAGCCAAAAAGTATTCAACGGATGTCCTGACTTTAAAGGTTCACATATTTGGGGTAACTAAAGATATACATTTATATTATAAATGTATACCTTAAGGTCTCCTTAAAGTGACTCACTATACCTATTTGTTTAATGTGCTCTTCATTTTTTGTATCAAGTTTGGTCATAGTATGGATCTGAGAGATTAAATAACTAAAATTAAATTAAATGTTAAGGGTTTTCAGAATTAGAAAATAGCAGAACTATGTATGATCTTGGCTGATTTTTTTTAAAAAACAAAATAGGTCCTGAACTTTACTCTGATCCAAAAGCATCTCACAATATCAGTTACACTATGTGTGATCTTGGCTGATTTTTTTCAAAGGTCCTGAACCTTACTCTGAACCAACGGATCCAGCATCTCACTATATCAGTTATGGAAATAGCAGCTATTCTATGGTTAGTCCCAAGATGACCTGGGAAGAAGCAAGGAAGAAATGTGAATCTGAAAATTCAAAACTGGCCGCCATTCTAGACCCCTATGCAGAATCATTCATATGGCTGCAAGTGCTCAAGTACACGGAGCCTGTATGGATTGGACTAAGCAGCCAAGAGGTAAGAACAGAATCTATACATTCACAATGAAGCCCTATATTTAAATTTGTAGACTTGGAAAAATGATCACATACATAAAGAATTCAAGAACGGGATTTCTAAGAGTAGAAAGTGTTATGGGTAGAGGTGGTCTGGCAACTCTATTGTTAAACAAAGAGGCCACTAAGTGAAATTGAAACTGTTTATGAACTTATTTCAGGTTTTCTTTATTTTTACTGATCGGCAAAGGTTGTAAATGCAAAGATGACAGATAAAGTTTCTTTTTCATTACTGCTGTAAGTTCCCATGGTCACTAAATGAGGCCTCTGACATGACAAATATGTGACAATTTTCTAAATGGATCTTGAAGACTAAATGCTTTCACAGAATTGATTTATTTCTGTAAAAGATTTATATTGTTCCGATTTTAAGCAGCTCTGATTGGCTTTTTCTCACAATTAAGGAAGAGGACATGGAGACCAGTTGGCAATGAAAAAGGGGTTCAAGTAGTTTCCACTTAACAACGATTCACTCAGTGATCATTTGAAGTTATAATAGGTCTCAATGGTAGTGATGGCTGGTCCTCAAAGTTATGTCCATTGCAGTATCCCCATGGTCACATAATCAAACTTCATGTTCTTGGCAGCCTGCCATCCTTTCAGATGACAGAAAGCGCTTCAACTTCCCCTACCTCTGTATCTCCCCCTGCCCTTTTGGCCCTGACTCCATCCCTGCCTACATCTACCCCGACACCCTTCACTGTCCCAGCTGACCTTTCCTTTTCTTCATTCTACTGCTGACAAGGCCCAGCTGCTGGCCTTCTGTGGAGTTGATGGCACAAGAGTTGAGTGCAGGGTAGTCAAAAGGGTAGAATGAAGGGAGAGTGTGTGTGAGAGGAGTAGAAGCAGAGGTGTATGTGGCAGGATGGGAAAAATATGAGGTTGCTGCCTTACAATGATGCAGTCTCGCAACTAGGATTGTCAGAACTGCTGCTCTAAGTGGTGTCTTCAAATGTATACAGAATAACAGAGTTGGAAGGTCTTCTAGTCCATCTCTTGCTCAAGCAGGAGACTCTGTACCATTTCAGGCAAATGGTTGTTCAATCTTTTCTTAAAAACCTCCAGCAACGGAGCCTCCAGAACTTCCACTGATTAATTATTCCAACTGTCAGAAAATTTCTCCTTATTTCTAGATTGTTTCTCTCTTTGGTTACTTTCCATATATTTCTTGTCCTTCCTTTAGATGCTTTGGAGAATAGCTTAATCCCCCTTCTTTTTGTGGCAGCCTCTCAAATATTGGAACATTACTATCATGTTACTCCTAGTCCTTCTTTTCATTAGAGTAGACATACTCAATTCCTGCAACCATTCTTCATATATTTTAGCCTTCAGTCTCCTCCCCTAATCATTTTTGTTGCTCTTTTCTGCACACTTTCTAGAATCTCAACATCTTTTTATATTTTGGTGACCAAAACTGGATGCAATATTCCAAGTGCGATCTTATCAATGCCTTATAAAGTGGTACTAATAATTCACATGCTTTTCACCTAATAAGTGCTTTGCTTAACAATATCAACCTCCTATCCCAATTAAAGTTATTAAGTTATGACTAGCTGTAGTGAAATTAGAATAGAATAAAATAGAATGGGATGGAACGGAATGGAATAGAATAGAATAGAATAGACCAAGTATGACTGGACATACAAGGAATTTGTCTTTGGTGCATATGCTCTCAGTGTATATAAAAAGAAAAAAATACAAAGTGACAGTCATAGGTTACTAAATAAGCAAACAAATTATACTAGGAAACAAATAAAACAATATAAATCATAGAGATACAGGCAACAATGTTATAGTCATAAGTGGGATGAAATAGGTAATAAGAAGGATGAGAAGAAGAATAGCAATACTGTCAGTAAATAGTTTGACAGTGTTGTAGGAATTAGTTGTTTACAGAGTGATGGCATTCGGGGGGAAACTGTCCTTGTGTCTAGTTGTTCTGGTGTTCAGTGCCCTATAGCGTCATTTTGAGGGTAGAAGTTGAAAAAATTATGTCCAGGATGTGAGGGATCTGTAAATAGTTTCACTGCTCTCTTTTTGACTTGTGCAGTATACACAAGAAGAGAATCCTCAGTTGAAGGCAGGTTGGTAGCAATTATTTTTTCTGCAGTTCTAATTACCCATTGAAATCTGTGTCTGTCTTGTTTGATGGCAGAGACAAATCAGACAGTTATAGAGGTGCAGATGACAGACTCAATAATTCCTCTGTAGAACTGAATCAGCAGCTCCTTGGGCAGTTTAAGCTTTCTGAGTTGATGCAGAAAGAACATTCTTTGTTGTGCTTTTTTGATGACATTTTTGATGTTAGGTGTCCATTTTAGTCTTGAAATATGATAGCACCTAGAAACTTGAATGTCTCTACTGTTGATATTGTGTTGTCTAGTATTGTAAGAGGCAGTAGTATAGGAGAGTTTCTCCTAAAATCTACCACCATTTCTACTGTTTGGAGTGAGTTTAGTTCAAGATTGTTCTGGTTGCTAGTTGTTCAACCTCCCATCTGTCTGCGGATTCATCATTGTTCCACAAGGCTAGTTATTCAACCACCTATCTGTATGCGGATTCATCATTGTCTTGAATGAGAGCAATCACTGTTGTTTTATCTGCAAACTTCAGTACTTCAACAGAGGGATCTTTTGAGATGTAGTCATTGGTATATAGAGAGAAGTGGAGAGAGCACACCACCCAATTGTATAGGTATCTGATCTAATTTGTCTAGGTTCACCTACTGCTTCCTATCTATTAGGAAGCTTATGATCCATTTACAAGTGTGGTCAGGTACAACTAGCTGATTTAGTTTAGTTGGAAGAATATCTGGAATGATGGAATTGAATGCTGAGCTCAAATCTACAAAAGAGGACTCTTGCATCGGTCTTTGGACATTCAAGATGTTGTGCAGAATCATGTTAACAGTCTCATCTGTCGATCTATTTGCTCAGTAGGCAAATTGTAAGGGGTCTAACAGCATATCTGTGATGGTTTTCAGATGGGCCAGCATTAGCCTTTCAATGGTTTTCATTACTACTGATCTGAAGTCATTCTGTTCCTTGATGGAGGGTTTCTTGGGATGATAGTAGAGCATTTGAAGCAAGAAGGGACATAGCACATCTCTAGTGATTTATTAAAGATTCAAGTGAAGATGGGGGCCAGTTGTTCAGCACAAGCTTTTAAGCAAGAACGAGTTATCTTGTCTCAGCCTGATGCTTTTCCTGGCTTTTGTATGTGAAATAGACTTTGTACCTCATTTTCTGTAATCACCAGAGGTGGTGGGGCCAATGGGATGGGGTCAGTTGTAAGAGGCTTGGCTATTGTTGGTGTGTCTGAGAGTTGCTGAGTTGTAAAAATCAGTTGCATCTATTTAAAATAAGCATTTAATCCATCTTATTAGTGAGTGAATGTAAATTAGTCAGAAAGAGTGACGGGGGAGGGGATTTTAACCCACTTTTCCTTAATCTATTCAAAATTCTTGCTCGCCTCTTTGCTTCTGGCATTTCCTCCATTTGTTTTTGTTTATCCATTGTTCAGAGGAAGTTGCTTCTTCCTGTGTTAGAAATTCTTCTGCATTTGTAAAGACAAGGGAGACTGATGTCATAGAAAGCTGTGCGTCAAAGAAACTTTGTTGATGCTTAGCAGTTGGTCTCGAATATGAAATCTGTAGTAAATCACAGAGAATGATAAAAACAGCTATCAGAGAGCATTTCACCAAGGTTGCCATCTGCAGCACTACCTTGGTGCCAAATTAATTAATAGTATCAATTATATTAATTATTTAATTAATTAAAATTAATTTAATTATTAATTTAATTATTAGATTAAATAAATAATACTTTTACTTGCACTTCCTCTAATAATTCCCTTATGCTTTTTGGTTTTAGAGTGATGCTGGGTACAAGTGGGTAAGTAATTGGAGGCTAATGTACACTAACTGGGCTGCTGAAGAACCAAGGCATAACACCGCCTGTGTCTACCTAGACATTGATGGTTATTGGAAAACAGGAAACTGCAGTGAAAAATACTATTCTGTTTGCGAGAGATATAATGGTAAGTAAATTAATATGTCTGTTTTAATAGAGTTTATATTTTAATTTCAGTTAGTGCAAAATTAGTAAAAATTTATACGTATCAACAAAGTGATAAGCTAAATTTTAAAAAATAATACATGCCTAATAATTTTCAATTAGAAAATGACAAATTTATGTTATACATTACTGCATTATATCATTGTAATTATTGCTTATTTATCAATGTTACAACTTTTTATTAATATTACTAATATTTTTCTTAGTGGCTAGTTACTAATATATGGATTTTTTTTTATAATGAAAACCTATTTGTTTCACAACAGGTATAGTACCAACTGAGAAGCTACAATCATCAGGAAAATGCCAAACTTCCAAAAACAGACAAGAATCTTGGATTCCTTTTGGAGATCATTGCTATAAATTTTACCCTTCATGGGTATCTTGGTCACAAGCTTCCCTGTTATGTGAACAGATAGGTTAGTATCATTTTGAGCTACGTAATAAGAATAGCAATTTTTAGAACAGGCTGAGAATGTAGGAAGTTACCATATAGAATAGAATAGAATAGAATAGAATAGAATAGACTAGACTAGACTAGACTAGACTAGACTAGACTAGAATAGAATAGAATAGAATAGAATAGAATAGAATAGAATAGAATTCTTTATTGCCCAAGTGTGATTGAACACACAAGAAATTCGTCTTGGTGCAAATGCTCTCAGTATACATAAAAGAAAAGATACATTCGTCAAGAATCATAAGGTACATAATAATAATAGTTATAGGGTACAATAAGGAATCAAATCATACTAGGAAACAGTCAATATAAGTCATAAGGATACAAGTGACAAAGTTACAGTCATACAGTCACAAGTGGGAGGGGATGGGTGATGAGAAGTTTAATAGTAACAGTAATGCAGACTTGGTAAATAGTTAGACAGTGTTGAGGGAATTCTTTGTTCAGCAGAATGATGGTGTTTGGAAAAAAACTGTTCTTGTGTCTTTCTGATCTGTAGTGCCCTATAGCGTCGTTTTGAGGGTAGGAGTTGAAACAGTTTATGTCTGGGGTGTGAGGGGTCTGTAAATATTTTCACATAGAATATAGAATGAGTATAATATAAAGAGAAATAAATACCTTTCTATTTTTCACATGCACTGAAAATAATTACTAAAAGGAAGGTTTCCACTGAGCAAAATACTCTGGTGAGATGAATAGCTGTATATTTCACCACACAGAAACTTTCTTTCAATTTCATGGTACTAGAAAGTTATTTATTATAAAGATAAGATAGGGATGTGCATCTACCGTTAGATCCATTCCTTGAAGCCATATAGCAGGTATAGTCAATTGATTCTTGTTATGATTGTTTAAGGGTCTTCAATATGTCTGGACATGCCTAGAAGACATATAAGCTCAGAAAGCAAAGAGGTAGCAGCTTTATCTTACTAGCAGTCCTGATAGAATTATCTTCTGGGCATGTTCTCATATACTCAGCTGAGCTCAAGAAGATCTTGATGTAACCTTAAACTTAACCTTAAATGTTAATATTAACCTTGATGGACAGTTCAGCAAAATAGGTATGTCTAACCCAACCGAAAGAAAGATTAGGGATGACATGATAGCTGTCTTCAAGTACTAGTGTGGCAGTCTCAGAGATGAGAGGGGTTGACTTCAAAGAGATGAGAGATAACTTCAAAGCACGTGAAATTAGGACCAGAAGCAATGAGTATAAGTTTTTAAAGAGAGATAATAAGGAGAGCAATGAGAACAATTAACCGTTAGAATAGCTTGCCTCCCAAAGTTTAGTTGCTCCATTGCTGGAGGAGAAAAGATTATACATTTTTTTGTTCAGAATGATATAAGGATTCCTGCTTTGGGCAGGAGGTTGGATTTGAAGATTTCTAAGGTCAATTCCAGCCCTTTTATTTCATGATTCTATTACACATCTGTGTTGAGCCTTCAAACAACCGCTGTTCATCTTCAGGGAGTGAATCAAGAGAAATACTTTGGTCATCAAAACATAGAGTGTGCCTCGGAACCTATCTTTTATTGTTTGCCATAATTTTGTTTTCTTTCTATGGATAATATGCACTCTCCAAATTGCACATGATATAAGAATGAATGTACCTGTATTTCAATATCTTTTTTAAAAGAAGAATTGCATATTGGAAAGCAGTAATTCTAACTCTTTTTAAAGCATCTTATAAATATAGAATACTTTGAAATATCAGCTACTTTGGAAGACTTGATCATTTTCTTTTGTCTATCTCTTTGGGGTGGGGCCTCTCAAACATTTAGGAAGATTTAGAACAGAAGTTTGTTTTTCAGTATATTGTGTAGAATACTATTTTTGCAGAATGTTTGCTTAAATTACCAGGTTTAACTTCTATATCATTATACTCAAAGGATAAGCTGCTGTGGTGTTTCACTATAAACATAATAAGCAATACAAATTTAATACGTTTTAGAAACAGAGGACTATTTTATACTTTAAGAGATTCAAAACTGAAATTATTCCTGGTGATGGGAATGACTCATTGATTATGCCTTGTAAAATTGCCCCTATTTTGGTGGGGTGGGAATCGAACCCGTTAATGAGTTTCTTTGATCATTTCATGTTTCATAGGTAGTGCCTTGACTTCAATCAAAGATTCAGTTGAATTATACTTTTTAAAGGAAGAAATGGAAATACTTGGATATATGGAGTTTTGGATAGGCTTATACAGTAATCAGGAAGGTAATTATTTAACTAATATTTATCTATGTGCTAGTAATAGGTAGTAAAACACTACCTTGCTATAGTTGTGGGGTTTGAGTGCTCTGGGGAAGATGAGAGGTATGCCAGGTATTCAATCATACCAGACAGACCTCATCAGAGATTAATGTCTCTTCTATAAACAATATGGTGAGATGTGATTTACAGAAATATATACCAGATCAGTCATCAGCCTGGACAAAAAAGGACCATTACATATTTAGTTGTAAAGTTCCTGGATATCTTGTGACAAATGGACTACAGGACTCAGGATTCAGCAACCAGAGTCAACTGTTGCAGGATTGCCTGATGAAATTAATTTACCCTTTGTAAAATAAAGAAATAATGATCTAATATCTTGAATTAAGCCCAAGAGGAAATATATAAAAATAATGTCCAGTTCTGGAAAGAACATCCAGAAACAGAAATAATATGACGAAGAATCTTGAAAAGGAGAATATTTGTAGCTCAGAGATGAAATAAGAAAACTTGTTGTTTTCTTGCAGACCTTTCATTTTACCCAAAATAGGTAACATAATCAGTGCTAGTAAGGGGTTTGCTCTCAATTTATATTCTAATGGCTTGTCCTATCAGCAATGGTAGCCTTAAGAGTTTTTGATTTGAGCGTTTACTATTAGCTTATTTGGCAGTTCGTTCTTTGGGGTATTATCTACTTCTTGACTGTTGGTCTGATGTTAATCTTGGTGTTAATCTATGTTCTCTAGGCATTGATTGCTGATGGGAAGGGTTTTGGTATTTTTGTTACCTTTTTGGCTTGTTTATTGTTTCTTTTGCACAGTATGTAGATGTTGTTTATGTCCACGTGTCTACGGATGGCTAATTTTTCAGAGTTTATAGGAATCTTAGAGAAAAAAGCTATAGGATATACCTTTTCATCACAGTGCAGTTCTTTTTCTTTTTAATCATTATGCTATACATTTATTTTAACTTTAGGAGAATGGATGTGGAAAGATAATAGTAACATCGCTTTTGTCAACTGGAATAAGCCAGATGATCATGGAGAAAATGATAGAAGCGAGATCTTAAGTAACAGATGCACTTTCATGAATAGTAAATCTGGATTTTGGTTCAAAAGCTACTGTGGATCTTATTCATCAAGAACATTTGTTTGTAAAAAAAATAAAAGTAAGCCTTATTATTATCATTATCATAATATTAAATTGAAAACATTATTTGTGTACTAAATACCAACCTTTCTGGCTTTTTAGACTGGCCAGAAGGGGGAGAGAGTAGTTGGTTCTGCATAAGTGGCAGGCAAGTGTCTGCATACACATAACTCCATTTATGCCCGCCATTCGCTCATGCAAGCAGGGTTGCATTTGGGTGTATTTGGGTGTACACTCTCGCCCACCACTTCTGTAGCCTGGTTCTGAACGGCTCAAGGCCCTGTAGTTGGCCATGGCCCAATGGTGGGGACCTCTGCATTGAATTAGTTTCCTAAAATACTGCAGCTTCTCTGTTTTCTGCCTAAATGGTGTTTCTTGGAATTATTCTTACTATGTCATTATCTGCTCACTTTTCAAACATATCCAAGAATATTTGAAAAGTTTTCCTTTATTTCTAATTTCTTGATGAGCAGGTTTTTCTAACTACATATTTTAAGAGATCTCATCTTGATCTATTGTTATGACCTTTTGTTGTTCTTATTATTTTTCTTACATCTTTTCTTACTTTTCTAGATTGCTAATTATAATTATCTACTATAAAATATGTAATGTTTTCCTTCCTTCCCTCCTCCCTCCCTCTTTCCCTTTTTATCATTTTTTCCTTATTTAATTTCTGTTTCAAATAATATGTTATAATTGAATATATTCAATATATTCAATTGAAACATATATTAATTTTTTCTAGCAGTGATTGAATGTCATATTTTAAAATGAATAATTATAATTTTAGCAATTGATAAAAGTTTAATGAACAAATTTCTTTTGCACCATTTGCTGTCCCTTAATTATTATGTCATCTGTTTTATGGCATTAATAAAATTGATCCTGTACTCACAGGATACAGAACTGAATAAAACTATTCTCAATAGCCAAGGATGATGATACCCAAAGTTTATTTCATAAAATTTTAGGCTAATTTTGAAAGTAGGAAACTTTGGATTGCTTTGTATCTGTTATTAGTTCTGATATTTTGTATTTCTCATTATCTATTATATCTATAGACTAAAATATTAGTTTTGTACTTAATCATTTTTGAAAGATACCTGAAAAACAATCATGAAAATTTCATTAAGCTAATGAATACCCCATGAACTCAGATTGATATCAAACAATATCAACTGTTAATGGAAACCCAAATATTTCTGGGGGGCGGGGGGGACTCTAACATTGTCCTATAGTGTATAATTCTTTCTTCAAGAATCATAAAAGTTCACTATAAAATATGCTGTGATTCATATAATTTATTTTTTAAATTTGCCTTGCAAATCCTTCTTCACTGTTATCCTAGTGGTGTGCAATAATACATAGACAGTAGTTACATACTGAAAACATTTTTGATTATTTTCTAGTTATTGAAGAATCAGCTGTAAACACTACAAAAATACCAGGTAAGAAAGTAATTTTAAGAGATAAGAATGTTATTTTTAAAGTTCAGTAATAAATTTTCCAGTTGTGAGCTGAAAATTCTAATACATAGCTCAAATATAGATGAACATATTTTTGTATTTTTGGCTGCCAGTTGCCATTTTATTTTTATTTTCTTAGAAAAGATCAGAAATAATATTATTCTACACAACTTTGAGATTTTGGTAGCTGCTACCCAAATATCATTCCTGTCAATCATAAACCACTATATTTTTATAGTTACAGCATATCATCAAATTACCATTCTACATTAGAAAAAATAAAAAAAAATGACAGCTCTCTAACATGTTTCGTTGCAGAATAAAAGAGAGAGAGAGAGATGGGGAAAAGATAAAAAATAAGCCAGTAAAAGATAATATAAAATCTCACTAAATGTCGAAGGATTTTTGTTTCCCATACTGTCAAAGTCCAAAACTGTATTCCTAATTTCCCCTGCCATAGATGAGATCACTTCGATGATATTTATGAAACCAAGTCTTGAAAGTGCTCCTCCTTCAGTTAGTGTGACTGAATATTTATGATTATTTTTCAGTTAATTATGATTATTTCCAGTTCCCAAATAAAGGATTAGCAATAAATGATAACCATAGCAATTTGTAATTAGTTTTGCTGTGGAAGAATTCACATCTCTAACATCCAGCTTAACATCAAAAGACTGTCAATTCAGTCCTTATCTTCCACAGGCAACACGTATCAATTTCCTTTGAGATCTGTAATGAACGGGAAAAAACAATGCATTACAGTTACTTCCTTTTACTGTGTTACAATTCACAAATTCCTGGGATTGGTGGTTCATTCTTGTTAGCTTTGCCTTTATTAAACTACTAGATAGGATGCAATCTCTTTTGGCTTCTTTCTCAATTAAAAAAAAGTCAGAGTTTTATCATAATATAACTGTATTCAGTGCTTTTCTTTCTCTCTGGTATTTTAGTGCAGAAAGGAGGGGAACTTCTGTCAACACATGGCACAGCTGTGGGGGCAATTATCTCAATTATCTTCATAGTCATCGGTGCAGGAATCGCAGCCTATATTTTCTATAGAAGAAGAAACAGACCACAAGTCTCTGCTGGATTTGACAATTCTTTGTACAGTGACAATGTGGTTATTCTTCATAAGGATTCACAATCTCTTGCAGACAATCAAGAATTAAATAAACAAATATAACTGGCATCTTGCTGTGGATAAGGCCCATTGGATACAATACATTTAAAATTCAAGGTTTTGAATGTATGCTCATAAATTAATACTTTTAATTTATTAAGATCAATTTAAAAAATTATGGAAAAATTTAGACTCTGTATTGGCCAGATCCATGATATGAAAATATTGCACTTATTATAGTTATTGAGTTAAAATATATCCTGTTTAATATACTTTCAAATTAAAGTTTGTTTGCTTTTTTAAAAGAATTGTTTCTTTAATATACTGGGAGGGAGGGAGGGTGGGAGGGAAGGAGGGAAGGAAGGAAAGAAAGAAAGAAAGAAAAAAGAAAGGAAGGAAGGAAGGAAGGAAGAAAGAAAGAAAGAAAGAAAGAAAGAAAGAAAGAAAGAAAGAAAGAAAGAAAGAAAGAAAGAAAGAAAGAAAGAAAGA